CCAGGGAAGACTTTAGTAAGGAAAACCCAATTATGCCTTGTGTTCACTCAGAACCCTCCAGTAGCTTCTCACTGATCTAAGAACCAAATCCAATGCCCTCACCTTAGCTGACAAGGCCTGGCGTGATCTGCCGCTCCCACTCCCACTTCCAGCCTAGGAGTCAAGAAAGAGCCCGGCCTCAGAGACAAACTGCCTTGGTGAGAATTCTGGCTCTTTTGCTCATTCATTCATTCAAAAAAGTTGATTGAACACCTACTATGGGTTAGGCACTACTCTAGGCATCAGTGGACAAATGAGACAAAGATCCATGCTCTTGTGTTTCATTTCTAACAGAGGGAGATTAGTAATGAACAAAGTCAGTAAATTATACACAGGCAGTCCCCAGGTTATGAACAAGATCTGCTCCTAAGTGTGTCTTTAAGTTGAATTTGAAGGTGAGTCGTAACAGGTGCATATAGTTCTTATTTAGCCTTACTTTAGTGCATGAGAGGAACTCTGGCCTTTGGCTGCTAATCAAAAGGTTGACAGCTGGAACCCACCAGCTGCTCTGTGGGAGAAACACATGAAGCAATCTGCTCTGTAAAGATTTACAGCCTTGGAAACCCACTGGGGCAGTTCTATTCTGTCCTATAGGGTTGCTATGAGTCAGAATCAACTTGATGACAATGGGTTTGGTGTTTTTTGGTTAGTGCAAGAGAAGCCTCGAAGGTGTCTCATTGATTTAAAAGGAGCAAATGCAGCAAGTGAAGGTGATTGGTTGGGCAATCTACTTCCGTACTGATACTGCCTGGGAAACCCAAGGAGGGGTCGCTATGAGTCGGGCGACTCAATGGCACATAACAACAACAAGAGGTTGGTTCAATAGTTTCAAAGTGAGGCCAAATTTACATAACGTTAAAGGGCAAATACAAGTTCAAATCGTTCCTGGTTCCTGTAGTATGTTGTTGCAGTTAGCTGCCGTCACGGCTCCTGCTTCATGATGGCCCTGTGTAGGATGGGGCGGCATGCTACCCGGCCCGTCCTTCTGGTCTGTCCCTGTGAGCAGCTGCAGGTGGGATCACTGTGACCCGTAGGGTTTTCAATGGCTGATTTTTGAAAGTAGATCTCCTGGCCTTTCTCCCTACTCCATTTTAGTCTGGAGCTCCACTGGAACCTATTCAACATCTGTTATGGATTGAACTGTGTTCCCCCAAAATACATGTTGTAATCCTCTATCAGTGGATGTAATCCCATTTGGGAATAAAGTTTTCTTTGTTATATTAATGAGACCATATCAGTGGAGGGTATATCTTAGACCTACTCTTTTAAACTCACTACCATCAAGTCATTCCTACTCATAACAACCCCCATTGGCTTTCCAAGGCTGTACATCTTTATGGAAGTAGATTGCTTCATCTTTCTCCCGCGGAGCAGCTGGTGGGTTTGAACTACCGGCCTCCTGGTTAACAGCCAAATGCCTTATGTACTGTACCACCAGAGCTCCTAGACTTACTCACTTTGGAGATACAGAAAGAGCAGATCAGGCAAAGAGAAGCAAGCACAAACGGGGAGATAAACGCCACATGGAGATCACTAAGGAACCAAGGAATGCCAGGTCTACAGAAGCTGCAAGAGACCAGACCCCACTCCGAAGACAACAGAGAGACCCTTCCCTTAGGGCTGGCGCCCTGAATTCAGACGTCTAGCCTCCTAAGCTGTGAGAAAATACATTTCTGTTCTTTCAAACTACCCACCTGTGATAGTTCTGTCCCAGCAGCACTGTGAAACTAAGATAGCATCATAGCAACATGCAAACCTCTACTGAGACAGGTGGCGGCTGTGTCCAGAGGTGACAAGTGTCATGGAAGTAAGAAAAAGCAGAGCAGGAGGGGATCAGATGTGCTGGGAGGGGCGGGGGCTGCACATTTACAGGGGCTGGTCAGTGTGGCCTCATTGAGAAGGTGATAGCTGAGCAAAGAGGTGATGCAGGGGCCACAGAGATACGAGGAAAGCAAATACATCTTCATGTGGGGCCGTGCCTGGCTCGTTTTAGGAAAAAGAAGGAGATGAGGAGAAAGCTGGGAGATGACTCAGCAAGATGACCGGGAGGGGCAGGGCAGGGCAGGTAGGGCCTTGGGGGCTCCCTTCAAGAGTGCAGTTTTTCCTGAGTGAGATGGGGCATTGGAGAATGTGGGCCAGTAAAGGAGTGGGGAAAGAAGGGCAGGGGTGGAGAGGAAGCGGGGCCTCAGGAGTCTTGTGGAGGGCAGCTCTTACCTGACATCCCACACCCCACCCCAAAAGGAGGATGGGCTCTCATACCCCTGAAATGATTGTTAACCGCTTGGGGGTAGGGCAAAGTCCCTCCTAGAGGCTCCAGCAACCCAAGGCCAATCCTCTCTGAGACGTGTAGGTGCAGGTCACTGAATACATACCCAGAGGGGGGACATAGAAATGTAAAAAGGGACCCAAGAGGGGGGAGGAGTAGCTCTCATGCTGACTCCAGTCCCTGAACACCCGAGCCCCAGGAGCAACACCCCTTGGGCCCAGTGAGGTGGCCCTGGGTGAGAGCAGGCCCAGTGTGGTCAGGCAAAGACCCCTCTAGGGGTCTAGGGTTCCCTCTACGGGCTAGTCACAGCCAAGAAGCAGCCAGCACGGGAGCATCCATCAACCCTCCCACACCAGGCCCATCTGCCAAGGGTCCAGGGTGGGCCGGTCCCATCCTCATTGGACCCCAAGGTGGGGAGACTCAGTCCTGGGGTCCAGGCCCTAGGGATGTGAGGAGCCATGTTTCTCTTTTGGCAAATGTCCCTGCTTCCTTCACAGGGTCTGTGACTGCATTTCTGAACCAGAGGGTGTTTACGCAAAACATCCTGGGTTTGGTGACAAATTCACTTTCAGTGAGGAATCTTTCATGAATCTCTCTCCTTCCCCACAGTGGACGGCTGCAAGAAAACTAGCTCTGCCTTTGGCCACTGAAGGCAGCCAAAGGTCAGGCAAAAAGGGTGCGCTGCTGGAGTCACGTTTTGGGGAAAGGTATTTTTTGAGGGTCCAGGGGCAGCTTTGGTATGGAGAAGACTCAGTTTTGCTCCTGACTTGCTGTGTGACAAGACGCTGCCCTTCTCCTGGCCTCAGTCTTCAGCTGTCAAATGGGGCAAAAATGATCCCATCTGGACAAAGGTTGCTATGGGATTCAAGTAAGGCAAAGGGTGCAGAAGGGCTTGGTTATAAGGGGTCGAAAGTGAAAAGTGCCTAAGGCACTTGACTGTTAACCAGCAGGTTGGTGGTTCAAACCCACCAGCCACTCCTCGGAAGGAAGGTTGGGCAATCTACTTCCGTAGTGATACTGCCTCGGCAACCCAAGGAGGGGTCGCTATGAGTTGGGGCCGACTCGACGGCACATAACAACAACAATAGGACAGCAAGAGGTCAAGATCCAGTGTCAGGCCTGCTGTTGATTTTTCAAAGTCCTCAGTGTTTCAGCTGTGTGATGAGGGGGGTTGGGCACTGAGATTTCTAGGGAACCCTCTGGTTCTGATGGGGAGCTTCTTTTCATTGGCCCACCTCCTCTGGGAAGTTCTCCCAAATCCTACAGCCCATCCCAATTCCATTCCCAGCACTCACAGAACTCCGCTTCCAAGCTGGTACTTCATTGCTAACTGCCCATAGGTTCCCCGGCCCCTGTCTTGGCTTTAGGTCAACTTCTCCAGGCATTGGGCCCAATTCAGAAGTTCAATGAACTCTGGTCAAATGGAATTAAAAACGATTTCTTCCTCCTTCCTGTTCTAGGGACGTTTTTTATTCATTCTCATTTTACGCACTGGAAACTGAAGGTGTCAGAGGTTAAATTTAAGTCACACTGCCACAAAGCCCTCCTTGGTGTTCCTCAAACAGGGAAAGAATGCTTTCTGTTTCTTCAAAGCCCTTACCACTACTTGCCACAAATCAGTTCCAAACAAAACAAAAAAACAGTTGCTGTGGAGTCATTCTGACTCATGGCTATCCCTTCTGTGTCAGAGTAGAACTGTACTCCGTAGTGTTTTCAATGACTGAGTTTTGAGAAGTGCATTGCCAGGTCTACTTCCATGGCACCTACCTCAAGGTAGATTTGAACCTGCAACCTTTCAGTCAACAGCTGAGCATGTTAATTCTTTGCACCATCCAGGGACTCCCTACCTGCCACAGTATACAATTATTTGTTTTGTCATTAATTGTTGGTGCTTCGCACTAGGATAAAGTTACATGAGGTTTAGGGATTTTGTTTTTTTCATTGCTGTATCCTCAGCACCTAAAACCGCCTGGCACATAAAAACAAAGAAACAAACAACCTTACTGCCGTCAAGTTGATTGCGACTCATAGTGACCCCTCCTTGGGCATCCGAGGCGGTATCTCTACGGAGCCCAATCTTCCTTCCCGGCAGTGGCTGGTGGGTTTGAGCCGCCAGCTTTCTGGTTAACAGTCAAATGTCTTAGGCACTAAGCCACTGGACCTGTTGTTGTTGTTATTGTTGTTATGGGCCGTGGAGTCGGACCGACTCATAGCGACTCCTCGGGTTTTCGAGGCAGTATCACTACGGAAGTAGATTGCCCCACCTTCCTTCGGAGGAGTGGCTGGTGGGTTTGAATCGTCAGCCTTCTGGTTAGCAGTCAAGTGCCCTGTTGTTGTTTGCCGTCGAGTCGGACCGACTCATAGCGACCCCTCCTTGGGTTTCCGAGGCAGTATCACTACGGAAGTAGATTGCCCCATCTAGCAGGTGCTAAAGAATCAGTACAAGGGAAGGGAGGAGGAAGAGGCAGAGCTGTGGATGTTCTCGCTGGACCTGAAGGGGGCGCTCAAACCACGCCCCAACTCTAGGCCCCACCCCCGCGCCGCCTGACGTCCGTGCGTAGAAGCCTGCGCATTGTCATTCCTCTTTTAATTGCGCATGCGTATCGGCAGCCTGTCAGAACTGCGCGTGCGCAGCACGGTCGAAGCGCAGCTGGAGGCGGGTAGCGGTCGGGCCTGACCGGACCTGGGGGGTAACATGCTGTCGCAGGAGGCGGATCGGGTGATGCGGTACCTGGCCGAGGTGGAGGAGCTCGCCGAGGAGGTGTTAACGAGCAAGCAACAGGTGGGCGGCGCTTCTGCGGCTGCAGGGCGGACAGTTGGGGCCTGGCTGCAAGTGCAGTAAGGAAGCGCGGGGTGCGGAATATGGTTCCTTACAGTGTTTGCCTGGGCTGATTTGATCGTTTCGAGACGACAGACTTAGAGGATCGTTGTGAGATTACGTGGGTGAAACGCTTAGCACAGAGCTTGGGCGTCCCTCATTTACTAGGCAGGTACTGTGTGCGAGCCGGTCCCCCGCCATCCCTCCGTTGCCCCCTTACGTGCCCTCCGGATCCTGATAACATTACCCATTGCGGGCGGTGTCCTGGTATCACCCTTTTAAGAATGCATTTTCTGAATTCTCCCGTTGGTGGGTGCACCGCAGCTGTCAAGGGTCCTGATAGGAGAAGCGGCCCAGAAAAGATCCCTGAAAGGCCTTTATTGGGGGCGGAGTAGGGGGCACTCACTGGTCATGGAGGCCCTTGTAGAACTGAAAGGAGAGTTTGAGGCTGGATCTAATTTACTTAGTCGTTGAAGGGACTTATTTGGCTTTAGGTTTTAAAAGGATTCCTCTGGCTGCTGTGTGGAGGATGGAATATGGGGGGGGGGGCAATGGTGGAGGAAGGAAGGTGAAGAGAGGTATTGCAGTGGTCCAGGCTAGAGATAGGTTTGGATCAGGGACTTGGCAAGAATTGATCAGAAATCTGTTTTGGAGATGGGCTGACTTAGTAGGATGTGATGATGGTTACATATAGAGATGAGGGATCAGGAAGAGTCAAGAATCGCTTACAGCAGATGGAAGTGAAACAACTAGAACAGATGAGAACTCGACACAGTGTGATGAATGTAACCACTGTCACTGATCATTATGTCTAGAAACTGACATGGGAGTGAGTTTGGCTGTATTTTCACCAAAAAAAAAAAAAAAGACTTATGACTTCATCTCATTGCTAGTTAGAACAGCTGGGTGGTTGGTAGTGCATTTACTGGGAAGGGGGTGGCTTGAGATTGAGCCTACTTAAAGTTAAAAACTTCATCAACATGTGGTGGATGATAATAATGATAGCAGTTAAGGTTATCATGTGTCAGGTGCTGTTCTAACTCATCTCATCCTCGCTCAGTAACCTAAACTAAAACCAAACTCACTGCCGTCGAGTCGAGTTGTTTCCAACTCATAGCGACCCCTCTTTGAGTTTCCGAGGCAGTATCTCTACAGAAGTATATTGCCCAATCTTCCTTCTGAGGAGTGGCTGGTGAATTTGAACCACTAGCCTTCTGGTTAGCAGTCAAATGCCTTAGGCATTATGCTACTATTAACCTAGGAGTTGAAAAAAACAAATTCACTGCCATTGAGTCAATTTCCACTCAAAATGACCCCTTTCTGGGTCTACTTCTATGGTAGTAGATTGCCCAATTGTCCTTCCGAGGAGTGGCTGGTGCGTTTGAACTCCCAGCCTTCTGGTTAGCCATCACATGCCTTAGGCACTACGTCACCAGAGCTCCTAGGAGGTAGGTAAACTGAAAAAAACCAAACCCACTGCCATCAAGTCAATTCTGACTCAGTGACCCCCATTGGGTTTCCAAGGCGGTAAATCTTTGCAGAAGTAGATTGCCCAGTCTTCTGTGGAATAGCTGGTGGATTTGAACACCCAACCTTCTGGTTAGCAGTCAAATACTTTAGGTACTGTGCCACCAGAGCTCTAGGAGGTGGGTACCATTCTTAAACCCATTTTTCAGGAGAGGAAACAGAAGTGAAAGCAGACAGCTAGTAGTTGTTGTTATGTGCCATCAAGTCGGACCTGACTCATAGCGACCCCTCCTTGGGTTTCCAAGGCAGTATCACTACGGAAGTAGATTGTCCAACCTTCCTTCCGAGTAGTGGCCGGTGGATTTGAACCATCAGCCTTCTGGTTAGCAGTCAAGTGCCTTAGGCACTATACCACCAGAGCTCCTACAGCTAGTAGAAGACACAGCAGTATTGGAGGTTGTGGCTCCAGAGCCAGCACTTTCAAGCTAAATAGTATCTTGTACTTCTCCCTCACTTCCCTAGTAGCTGTGGGGTCATTACCACCCTCGCTGTCCCCACTCTGCTGTTCTAGCCTAGTATTTTGAGTTTCTTATGATTCTAAGTCAAAATCAGCTGGAGGAGTTTGTCCAAAACTAGAGATTCTTTGGCCTGCTCAAAGAGTCTAGGGGAGAGGTTTGGGAATCTCCATTTTTAACATGCTCCTCTGGTGACGCTGATATGCCCAGCACTTTGAGAACTTGTGCTCCAGTGTTTAGTTGGCAAACATTTTCTATCATCTCTGGGGGATAGTACTTGTCTTTGAGGACCTGGAAGGTGAGTGGGAGAAGAAACAACATTCACACAGTTGTTGAAACATTCAGCAGGTTGTTGAAAGAAACCTAGGAATAGCCTCTGGTCTATTGGAAGGTGGCAAGTTGGAGCAAGAGATAGCTGAATGCTTCTCATCCCTTTGCTTTTTAGATTGTGGACCTGGACACCAAACGGAATCAGAACCGGGAGGCCCTGAGGGCCCTGCAGAAGGATTTCAGCCTCTCTGGTAAGTTGAGATTTCCTCAACTGGCTGCCTGTTCAGTTTTGCTTGAGGCCCTCACCTTGTCCCTGGTAGAGCCCAGGCCACACATACATGACTGTCAGCTTCGTAGGGAACTAAGACAGCCTGTGGCAGTCGGGGAGACAGTGCTGCAGGGCTTGACGCCGACTGTGGCTCAGGATTCCAGCTGCTCATCTTGGTGACAGGCCCTTAGCTTCTGGCTCATTGCTGATGGCAGACACTGAGGGAGGTGCTGGGGTGGCTTCTGCTCTCTGTTCTAGCAGATGAACAAACAGCACAAATACAGAGTTGAGAATTGTGAGAAAGCTACAGACGGAATTGGACATGAAGCAGGTGTAGGTGTCAAGAATATCCAGGAGGAGGGGATGGGGACTATGTCCTGAGAGTCGAGAGGCTGTGGCAGAGTAAGCCAGAAGGGAGGGCACGAGATAGGCAGAGGCCAGGCCATAATGAAGGGCTCTGGGGATCAGGCACAGAAGTTTGAGTTTTGTTTAAAGTTCAGTGGAAAGCATAAAACCTGCCAGTTGCTTTTCCTTTCACCAGAGTGGAAAGTTTTACAAGACCTCACATAGTCTACCCTGTGAACTCTGACATCATCTCTCCTCTCCCCAATTCCTCCATTCCAGCCACATTGGTCTCCTCGCTGTTCCTAACACCCCAAGCACACTACTGATATCTGCTGTTTCTGTGCCCTCTGCCTAGCTCACTCTTCCCCCAGGTGTCTGCAGGGCTCACCCCCTCGCCTCCTTCAGGTCTGCCCACGTGTCACACAGTCGTGAGGTCTTCTCAGGCCACCCAATACAAGTAACAAGTCCCTGCTCTGCTCTGGCCTCCCCTGTCCCCCTTACTGTGCTTTATTTTTCTCTGCAGCACTTATCAGAATGTGCCACATCATATCTTTACATGTTGATTTTCTCCTTCACTTTGACATCATTTCATGAAGGCAGGAGCTTTGTCTTGTCCTGCTGTGTTCTCAGCATCTAAAACAATGTCTGGCAGATAGTAGGTGCTTAGAAAATATTTGATGACGGAATGACTGTTTGCCATTTCAGAAGATGTGATGGTTTGCTTCGGGAACATGTTTATCAAGATGCCTCACCCTCAGACGAAGGAAATGCTTGAGAAAGGTGAGTCATCCAGGGGATTGGTCAGGGACACAACTGCCTCCCACCACCCCTTAGCCTTGCCTGGAACAGAAGCAACAGGCTCTGGGCAGCTCGGTGAGAGGCAGCTATGTTACAAGTTTGGACGGCTAAGGCTTTTAAACCCTGCTTAGCTGCTGGGAGTTCTTGCCTCATCTCTAGAAGGAGTGCATTTCCATAGCAGAGTTGTGAGGTTGGGGTCAAACAGTGTTGTGTGCCTAGCATACTGCATGTTTATCAGTGAGGGCTGATTTGAGCTGCAAATAACAGCAAACCCAACAAATTAAGACTTACGGAAATTAGTTTCTGTTTTTCTTGTACAAGAAGCTGTCCAGACATTTAGCTGAATGAAATAAGTCAATCACAGAAGGATAAATATTAATTCATTATTGTGAAAAATCAAGGAACACTGTTAGATAGGTAGAGATAAGTATTGATTTGGGTGAAGAGAAGGGCAGTGTACCAAATGTGAGTGATCAACATGGTGGCATTGAGGAAGAGGAAGACATAGAGAGGCACATGGGAGGTACAGACAACAAATATGAACCCTTTTGCACATACGGTACTGCATTGTCAGAATTTTTATATTTTTAGAATTTAAACAAAAAAATCAAGGAAAGGTTTGTATATGGAAGGAAACTTTCCTTGTTGGTTACCAGGGGTGGGAGGGATGGGAAGGGAACATTGCTAGACAGGTAGAGACAAGTTTTGATTTGGGTAAAGGGAAAGGCAATATAGCAAAATTGAGTGATCAGCACATTAACACTAAGGAAAACAGAGGGGTGCACAAGAGGTACAGACAGCAGAGAGAAACCCTTTTATGTATACAATACTGTGTTACCTTGATAACCGAAACTAATCTATGGGTAAAAAGATGGGTGGACAGCCTGAATGATCAGGTATGTCTAGGCAAAAGAGAATATACCCATAACTGGTGGTGTAGTGCCTACAGCATTTGACTGCTAATCAGCAGGTTGGCAGTTCAAACCCTCCAGCCACTCCGTGGAAGGAAGACTAGACAATCTACTTCTGTAAAGATTTACTGCCTCAGAAACCCAAAGGGTGGAATCAACTAGATGGAAATAAGGTTTGCTTTTTTTCCCCCGCGTATAAGGTTGGTAGGCAATATTTCTACATACATATTGGTATGTGCTGTAAGAATGTCCATACAGCTAGAGCTAACAGGGCAAGGTTATAATAACTTCTTAGGCACAGGCAGCCACCCTGATGGAGTGAGTTGTTCAACTTGTGGGCTCAGGATCATGGTTGTAGGGGACATCAAGCTCAATTGACATAACATACTACACAAAAACATTGTTTTGTATCCTACTTCAGTAAATAGCAAGTGGGATCTTAAAAGCTTGCAGGCAGCTATCTAGATACAACAATGGGTCTTTCCTCATCCAGAGCAAAGAAGAATGAAGAAAACCAAACATGCAGGGAAAGCAACTAGTCCAAGGGACTACTGGACCATGCAAACCTCAGTCTGTATGACCATGAGACCAGAAGAACTAGATGGTGCCTGGCCACCACTGTCAACCACTTGGAAAGGGATCAGTGCAAGAGATCCTGAATAGAGTGGTAGAACAATGTGGAACAAAACTCAAAATCATAAAAAAGACCAAGTTTACTGGTCTGATAGAACTTGGTGGGACCTTTGAGACTATGGCCCTTAGTTACCCTTTAGGTCTGGAACTGAACTCACTCCCATGGCTTCCAGCCAAACAGTAGACAGGTATAGAGGGTGAAGATTTACATCAGGTAGATAGATTCCTTGGAGTGATCAATTGTGGGAGGACAGAAGGGCAGTATTTGTACAGGGAGACAGCTTAGGGGGCAGGGATGCATGGGAAAGGGACCCAGAGAAGAGGTGGCTGCAGGGAGGAAGTGGGAAGAGACCTGTTACATTGTGGGGAATTGCAGTCAATGTCAGGAAACAATGTGTATGAACTGCTGTATAGAAAATGAATTTGCTTTGTAAACTTTCACTCAAATAACAATTAAAAAAAAAAAAAAAGCAGTCCAGAGGTGGTGTTCCAGGCCTGGCACAGTGCCCAGTGGTGCTAGTTCAGTGTACTTGCGTGGTTGTTGCATCTTCATCATAGGTTTTGTGTCCATGTGCCAGGCTGGGGGGCAGGAAAAGGGCTTTCTCCAGGAGTGGCCTTGCCTTCTGGTGTGGAGATAAGGGTATTCTTCCCCTTCTCACCCACTAAAGCTGAGATCTTATTAGCCAAAATTAAGTCACATGGCTACCCATTGCTGCAAAGGGGCCTGGGAGAGTGAACTTTTAGTTGATATAACCCTACAGTAGTAGCTGGGTTGAAAATGGAGATTTGGGTAGAGTGAACCTCTGTTGTTGTTATGTGCCATCGAGTCGGCCCCGACTCATAGTGACCCCTCCTTGGGTTTCCGAGGTGATATCACTACAGAAGTAGATTGCCCAA